TCCGGTTTCTGAACTGGAATTGGGAGAATTCTTAGCATAAGATGGTATTACTGTGAAGCTTCACGAAGAAAATGAGATGGAGAATGCAAGGAAACTCAATAACTCCTTGGTTATTAAAATTTTTGGAGGTGCAGCTCCTCTAGCAGTTATAAGCTCTGAGCTTAGAAGGCAATGGGCACAATATGGTAAGCTTCATCTTACCATGCTAAGCCAGGGATGGATCCTCTGTTCTTTTCAGGATTCACAAAGTGCGGAATCGATCCTTACAAATGGACCTTGCTTTGTTAATAACAAAATAATTGGAATGGATAGGTGGTCCAAAAGCTTCTCTCCAACATCCTTAAAAGGCCTAACATCTCCTATATGGATAAGACTTCCAAATCTCCCTTTGGAATGTTGGGATAACATAAACATATGCAGAATTTCTTCTATGATTGGAAAACCAATTTTGATAGATGGAAACATGTTCCAATGGGGGAGGAGGGAATTTGGAAGAGTATGTGTTCGAATCAGACTTGATAAGAAGCTACCAGTTGGCGTATGGGTTGAAGGATCATCTGGCAAGTTCTTCCAAGAAATAGAATATGAACAGCTTCCAAACTTTTGCTTCAAGTGTGGTTTAATTGGGCATGTTCAAGAAGTATGCAGAGAAGGGAATTCACCTCCAAATGTTAAAGAAATACATAATGCTGTGGAAGCTTCAGATGCAGCTAATTCATTACCAGACAAGGCAAATGAAGAGGAAATGGCTGGCGATCCAAAATATGGACCTTGGATGGTTGTTAATCGTGGAAGGAAGAAAACTGTATGTTTTTCTAAGGAAGTTAATCTTAGACCTTTGGAGAAAAAGGTGTGGAGGAAATCTGATTCAACCAATAAAATAGATACCGGAGATAGGTTGAATGAAACTCATAGTTTGGGCACAACTATAGAAAATAGCTGTACAACTATCTGTGATAAATCGGGTATCTCATCCCCAGTTGAAGCTCCCAATCATGATAACTGTTCTAATAAGTGTTCTCTTCCATTGATTAAGAACAAATTTGATG